TTTTTTTTTCCTAGGAGTACATATTTTGAATTTCTTGGAACTATTAAGCAGATTAAAAAAATTAATAAGGAAAATAGTAATTAACAAAAAAACAGAGTGTGTATGTAATCTACACTATGTCTTTACAGTCTATGTATAATAACGCATTAAGGATTTATAAAAAATTATAATGTGAATATATTCTTATTTCTATGTGTCTATGTATAAATATTAATGTAAAATACATGTTTTTTTTTTGTATTTAAATACTCTGGCGTTTTGGTGTTAATCATTTTTTTTTCTATACTTCAGAACTTCTAAGACTAAAAGAACGCTGTTCCTTTCGAAAGAAACGACAGTTTTATTACTTTATAAAAAATACGATGCAATTATTTACAGAAATATTATCTGAACTTTTTTGCGTGTGTGCAAAAACAGTAAGAAATGAAACGTACACTAACTACGGGATTGTTTTGAATATTTGATTGTTACTGTTATAAGAGCAGTATTGAAAACTTTATAAATATTAATATGTAATATAATGTAATAGCTAAGCATAGGGTTTTAGTAGGCCTTTAAAGCAATTCTGTGCATGTATTTGTCGAAAGAAAGATTTTCTCACATCAGTAAAAAATATTCTAACTGAAAATGTTGAAATTAACTGTAAAAAAATTTTTTTGAAGACTCAATTCAAAGAAAAGTGTAACATGATTTTATATACTTAAGATTATCGTTATCAATGTATGAATAATTATAGCATTAGTGTGTAAACGATTAAGTACATTTTTTAGAAATGTTTAAATTAGATATAAATTATAACAATGAGCAAAAAATCATATATCTACGTGTATAAATTTGTGAAGTGTGTTTTTAGAACGTTTGAAGTAAATGCATTTTTTTTTACGTGTACTGTTTGCATAAATAGTAACTTTTGTGCTAAATTAAAAAATAGTGTGTTAATTAATTAATCTGTTACTATCATTGAAATTTATGTGGTTATATTTATCGAATACATTCATATATTTCCGTTTGTCATCTTTCTAATCCTGTAAGTTAATTTTGTTGAATGGCAATTTGAAGTAATTGAATTCGTTTAGTCGAACTATGTACAGGGTAAATAATTAATATTATTACCTATGCTATGCAAAGTCAATGTACAATTATAATTCAGCGTATTTTGTATTACTAAAGTAGTAATAATAGTGTTAGATATTATATTAAGGAAATAATTATCAATACATAGGTACATGTAACCTTACCATTATAATTTAAAGAATAAAATTTTTAATCGTACAACAGCTATATACAAGGAGGGACTTTTTACGATTTAATTTTAAAAATATATCTGTAACATGAAAATAATCGTTTCTGCAGGTACGTCATAGTCATCAAAACGAAACATCAAACAATCCATTTCTTCATTATTTATAATTGACGCCATTAACACCAACAAAAAGTACACAAGAAACTCTGTTCAGCAAATAAATATGCGTACAGGGTGTTTCAAAAACTTGTGGGGAATTCAAAGAAAACTATAATAGTTTTATTAGCTCGAAATGTTACGTAAATTTTTTTTTTGGTTTCATATCTATGTACAGGAAATACTGATACGGTAAAGCTGACGATCAAAGACCTCAATAATTGCGCCAATGTATCAGGGCAAGTAACTGTTCAGTTCAATAAATTGTATGACAAATAGGTTTGTTAAATTTCTAATTTAATATGTAAAATAATTCAACAATAGGTGATAAGATATTCTAGTATATCAAGTTACGGTAATATACCGTCATCTATTGAATTTGCTGCTAACTGAAGCATATCAAATGTTAAACAAGGGCATTAAGGTAGGTATCTACCATACTCGTAAAGTATTTGAGTAGAAGTATTTAAAATACTCTACAGTTAAAGTTCCTTATTCGCGGGGTATACGTTCCATAAATACGCCGCGAATACAGAAACCGTGGATATGGAATGATAATTAGCATGTAATCACAGGGGATACGTTCTAAGGTTCCGAAATGAAACCAATATGTATCAAAATAAAATCAATGTATTGATAAATTCGCAATTAAAATTAATAGTTATAGTCAGCTTTGGGCAAAAATTTAGTGATAAAAACATGCTTATCGGTTCTAGATATCATGAGTTTAATGTTTGGAATAGAGGTTTAAAATTTTGTAGTAAGATAGATAATGCTTTGTTTTAAAGCCTGTCGAAGACAATTTTTTAATTTCTTAATTTCTATTAAAAATACGTGTCTTACAAGAAGCATCAACTTTAAGTACTTTTAAAAGCGTTTAATGACCATATTATTGAAAACTAAAAACGTGCCGAGTTAGTCTTAACCTTTGTTTGTTATCATACATAAAATTAGATATTTATCTCGCAACGTTAAATCACAATATTTAGAATAGAAACACCTATATTTTTGGAAAAATTCACAGTAGGTACGAGCGGTATATTGCGGTCTGTCCCCTTAATAAATGACACCGAACTTTTCTGTTTACCGATTGCATCCGCGAATAATCAAATTTTTAGCCGCGAATACAGGAATTGGATTGCAATTTTTTTTCACCCGCGAATAATGCAAACGCGAATAAGAAAACCGTAAATAAGGAACTTTTACTGTATATATTATGCAAAGTATTTTATTGATATTCTTAAACATAATAAGTCATTCACATCTTTTGTCATGCTCCCTTATCTTTGACCACCACAACCACGTTATTGTTTGTTTGGACAGAGTTTGTTAAAGTAGATTTTTTTGACTAGCTTCGCAGAATCTCTGCTAATTGCTTGAAAATTTCTTTTAATGCGACAAACCGTACCAGCGTAGCAGTTTTCACAACAAAATTTGATTCCCATCACACTATATTCAGGTTTTGGACTGCTTAATGTCTGCTGTTTTAAGACCTTCGTTATTTTAATGGTTAAGCTTTATTTCCGGTTTTTGTTTTTTCATTGTCGTTCNAGTATATACTTGCTTAAAAATATTTATCTAAATGTCGTCTCTTTAGTGTAGCTGGCTGTGTATTTACCAAAAAGAGAAGATTGACTGATGATAATTTTGAAGAAGTTTTATTACCTATATAAATATAACAATAAATTTATACAATCGTATTTTTTTAAATTTATTGTTAATGTACAAATTATTTAAAAGAAAACATTACTATATTTGCGTTTTATACTTGAAAGTTTTCTATTTATATTTTGAAAACCTTATACATGCTTGCATTTGTCTATAAATACTTTTAAACAGTTATTTTTTACAAGTATATACTTGCTTTAAATCATTTTTACGAAAAAAAAACTTAAAAGTATTTGTATTTAAATACCTGTAAAATACCAAGTGTTTGTATTATATATATATGTAAACTCAACTTATAAGAAGAGTATAGGTTTCCGGTTAATGATTTATCGGAACTAACAGACGTAGATGGCAATTTCGATCTTATTACATCTTACCAGTACACCATGACGATAAATTATTGACGAAGAACCTACACTATTCTTATTAATTGGGTTTATGTTCTTGTCAAATTGTGTCGTCGATTCTATGGGAAAAGTAGATACCTTGGTAATGGCCTTGTCTAACATTTGAAATATTTTAGTTAGCAGCAAATGTTTGTACATGGCAATATATTATGGTAACTCGATGGAATATCTCCGGTTTGGTCGGTGCGTGCTAATGAGATCTAATAAGACGGAAACGCAATCCACGTCCGGTTTTGATAAATTATTGACCAAGAATCTATTGATATTGTTCGTATTCTATGTCTACTTTAATATTAAACACTAAAGTGAAATTAACTTTGTACTCTCTATAGATTACCTCAAATTAATGAAAATAGAAAGTTAATTTTACTTTAAAGTTTAATATTGAATATTAACCTTTTTGAGAATATTTCGTACCAATCTATTTTAGGTTGTTTTTTCTGTTCTTTTATGTATGTACTTACTTACAAATACATACATTCTAGTGTTTTTTTTTACGTTTTCGGTTTTGGAGTTAAAATACCTTTGCCTAACATAAAATCAATTGAGTGTAATTGTTTAAGGAGGACTACATTATCTATATAAGAAGGTGATAAACGGTGGTATAAGGATAAAAAGGGGTCTGTCTATACATAAAAGATCATATGACATAACACAGGGATACCAATTTTTTAATTTTGCCCATTATAACTGTCCAGCTCCGACATCAACACAAAACTATGTTATTTTGAGTATCTATTGACTCTGATATCACACAATATGACAAGTTATTTGTAGCACCCTGTACCGAGAAAAGAAACAGACACCCTTTTGTGCACACTTGCTTCCTTTATTAGAAGAACATTAGTTTTTTTTATTGAGCACCACTTTTTATTACTGTAAACTTGCAATACACAAACAAAATAACATTCTACAAAATATGGAACGAGAACAATTAACTTAACTGCAAGATTTTTAACTTTAAAAAACACTTTCTTATGATCTAATAATAGCTATTTAGTTATTATTTAGTAATAGAACCTTATTAGCTAATCTACTTTGATATGTATCAGCAGATCCTACACTATAATTTAGGAGAAGTTGAAAGAAAGGAATTAGTGCAATGTTGTGGTCATCAAAATTGTACCACCTTTATTTATTGCACTACTAGTTATTTATTTACAAAATAATTCTGCTCATTTTTTTTTGTCCAGAGAACGAAATTGACCTTATAAGGGTGCTCTTTATTTACTTGTTGTGGAAGTACTACTTCACATGCCTTTTTAATAATAAAAGTAAGTAATTAAAATTTTTTGATTTTAGTATTCGTGTTTACCATACTTGTATTAGATTTTATAAGGAAGACCTTAAAAATTTAGAAATATTAGAGTAGAAACAGTATTTTAAGGAAAAATAATTATACATTTCTTTTTTAACTTAATAAAGCCCGTGTGAAAATTAAAAATATTTAGAACTGAATGCAGCTTCTATTTATATTTGGATTTAGAATTCAGTGCGAGATAGATACATGTTAAGCTATACTGATGAAATTTGTTTCTTCTATTTGAACTATCGTTTATAAGTCATTATTAGACTGTTAATGTAGTTTGTGTATTGCCGCTAGTTTGTAATTTTCTAAGAAATCTATGAGTAAAATTTAGTTTCAAAGATGTGGCAGTGAAAATATTTTAAGTAACGAAAAAGTATTTTTCGAAATTTTAGGAATTATTAAAAATTGTAAAACGAAATTAAAACGCAACATTTTAAGTTTAAGCAACTGCAACCTTCCAAATGCAGTCAGTTAGCTATTCATTCACAAGTTTGTCTTTTGCAGCATTAAAAAAACTGTATACCTATTGACTATATAGAACATTGTTCGTTCTGCATTTTCCTCAATTTTTTCGTTTATTAAATTTAGTAAGATCTTATTTCCTCAATTAATATAATCATAATAGAAATTTATTAATTATTAAGTAGCTTAAAATGTTACGTTAAGTAAGGTAATTTCTTAACTATTTATTAATTTTCCTTTTTATAAAATGTATTATGTTTATAATAAACTATAACCCATTAGTTTAGAAACTATTAAGTATATACATATCTATTCTACCAATAATTCACCTTGCATATGTATAGTAAAGGTAAATTATCTTGTTCTAATGAACTAACATATAAATCGAACAAAATTTTGCAATTAAGTTATCTTCTGTGTAGAAATTAACGTAGACTAGTTTTTTCTTTTTAATTACAGAAAACCTGTGGTAGTTTAAAAGTTATTCCTTCGAGATAATTAATTATTTAACTATTTTGTTTATTTCGCCTTCGTTTCTAGCCAACTACCTTTTTTTTCTGGCAATTAGTAAACGACCACAGGTTCATTTTAATTATTTTAACTATTACGTTACAATCACAGTTTTTGTATCATTTGACCAGAATTCGTCAGGTCGTACAATCTAAACATCTCACTTTTTTGTCAAACCGTGCATTACTGCCAATGCATGGAATTACGGATAACTGTTTTTTTTTTTTTAAGTTAACAATAACTCAATCGAGAAGAATAGTTTGCTTAAATGTATACAATGTATAATAGTGTTTATTTTGCTTTTTATCCTTTAATCTGGAGAAATTATTAATTGATAAAGGAAGAACAATTTTTGAGTGTATAATACAATCAGACACTAATTGGAGTGTTGATGACTTATTTTAAAAATTATTTAATTTCCTTTGTTGTTATAATTATTAAGAGCTATTTTTTAACGAGCTTAGGTCCACAGCGTTCCAATGATTCGACAGATCTAGAAAACGAATTGCTGATTCCAAATTACTGTTTTCACGTAGAAAATATAGGCAGTTCTCACTCTACGTCAAATAATTATTATTGAATTAATTTGTACAAAAATTACACCTATATTAATATAAGTCGAGCAAGATTAAGTCCTGGGTAAAACTTTTATATCTGATATTGACACACCTGTCAAAAGCGTCGCGGTCAGTTTGAAATTGTCATCATCATCGTCGTCAGTCCTAAAACTGGTTGGACACGCACCTCCACTATTTTCCTATCCTGAGCTAATCTTCGCATTTTCCTAAAACTAGACTTTAAAAAAAAAACTTTTTGGGTGTTTCATTCCCACCAGCCAGAATGCTGGTGGACTGTCAGTCCCTCCGGAAGGTAGGGCGTAAGGCCCTCTTCAGCCTGCTTTCAGGAATCGTGGGAATGGGTGGATGGTGGTTCGGGTGAGAAAGTTGAGACGGATGAAATGAAGACAGAAAAGAATAAAAGATTATCTGTGGAATGTTACTACCTCAGCATTTGCCTAAGTGATCCAAGGAAACCACAGAAATACTTGGACCAAGGCAAACGGACGCGGAATCGAACCGGCGTCCTCCCGAATACTAAGCAATGGTCTAAACCTCTAGGCCATGCCGCTCGGTAAAACTAGAACAACCCTCACCCTTAACTATTTGCGAACAGTAATATAATTTAGATCTACCTCTACCCTCCTAACTTCCGTTTCTGCCTCTAATATGTCTCTGACTAAACCTTCATGCTTGAGAAGGTGTCCTACCAACCTATCTCATCTATCTCTTATTGACTTCCATAGAGTCCCCTGTTCTCCTATTCTTTCTAATATTTCTTCATTTCTAACCTTCTCAATAGTCCAAAAAAGTTTACAAATAGAGGTGAAAAATGACTTGATCACTACAAGGTGTAGGTTTCGCAAACGTCATTAGACAAACCCCAAAACACATTCTAATATTAAATTTAAAATGAAGGCAACGTGGAAGTACAATAACTTAATTATTTAATCCTTTTTTAATAAAAAATAAAAAAAATTTCTCTCCTTTTCATGTTATGCGCCCTTTGAAGGTTAAATTATGGTTGACCAAATTGCCTTAATTTGAAATTTATTTTTATAATGTATTTCGGTGCTTTTCAAAAAGTATTCATCAAATCTATACTTGTTCTACTGGCTTGTAAGCATGGTAAGCGTTGAGAGCCCCTAGTGGAACATAAACCATAAGGAATTACTAAGTTCATTTGCTGTATGATTACATAAAGTTTCTATTTTTTTATTCGTTCAATGATTGGGGCTTATCCTGTTAATGTTTCGAGGCTTTCAAATTAATGTGAAAATTAATTTTTTAATTTAATCACTAAATAAATCACCACAAACTCCCTCAAATTAATAAAGGATTATGAATTCCATGCGTTTTACTAATTCAAAACGAATTAAACTGGCATATTTTTATTGGGCGTGAGTTAGCTTTGCGTGTGGACATCAACAAGTTTATTATTCTCTATTTAATTGGTATTGTTTGGTACAAAACAAAAATGCAGGATAATTATTGAACCATATTTATTTATTACAACTGTATGTGTAAACAGTGAACAGCACTCTTATTAAAAGAATAAGAAAAACAGGTACATACGAAGAATTAACAATTGCAAGTCAAATTAGCGATATACTGAACAAAAGTCCATACACCATTATATACTGAAGATACACAAGAATTCTTTTACAATGGAATGCTTAAAATGCCATTACTACTGTTATCATCATTATCATCAACCCTAAACCATAAAACGAAACATTATTTAATAAGTATAATGAGATTAGTCACGTTAGCATTAAGTAACAATTTATAATTTACGATATAAGGTAGTAAATAATTACAATATTAATTATTTCTTCAATAGAAAATTAATGTGAATCTAATATTTATACAATTACTTATGTACAAATAAACTTTTAAGTACTGATCTAAAACTGAATTTAATAACAACCGCAATAGAATATACTTTACAAAATTTATAAAAGACGTTTATTATATAGTAGGCACTCGAATCTCTAAAGTTATAACTCAGTTCTAAATAGTGGTATTGCAAGGATTCAAAAGAAAAAATCTGCTTCAGATTCAGGCGGAAATTATTCCTATCTCTTTCATACAATCTATCATAGGTACCTACATTATTTTCAACAGCTTGTTTTGAAATTTTTNCTTTTTGTCCAGCAATGAGTTTATATAAACTCATTTATGGAATACACCGAGTATTTTTTCGGTTAAATATTTATTTTACTTTTAATTTTTAATCTAGACATCGAAGACGCGATCAACATCATTACAGATAGTATAACTGTAGAGATAGATATAGAGGGGCAGAAGATTATGCTTAGACTTGCAGATGATATAGAAGTATTAGCATCTAGCACAGAGGAGTTAGAGATAACTTTAAATTAAAAATACTAGTATGCAAGAAAAGAAAAAGTACGGAAAGAGCGAATATATGGATAGAAGACGAAAAATTGGAAGAAGTAAGTAGCTGATTTTAAGTATCTAGGAAGCCAGGATGGAAGGAGCAGTAGGGATATAAAGCAGGGGATAGCGCAGGATCGAGTCGCCTTCAAATAAACAGAAATCACTTCTATGCTAGCGAACGATTAATTTAGAAATTCAAAAAAGATTTAGAAAATACTACAAATGGCGCAGTAAACGCCATCTGTAGGACGATGCTACATTTTAGGATTACGTATGCTTCAACAAGGTCCACTTGTGTGGATATCTACTTGCTGAAAACGAATCCCGGCCTCAACGTGATAGGCACGTTACCTTAATCGAATAAAATAATTCGAAGTGGTCTATATTATGTCGAAACTGCCAGACGCGGATCGCGATTTCGATCTTCTTGGATCTCATCAGCGCGTCGCAGGCAGCTCCGCGTTTTAGATAATACTACAAATGGCGCAGTAAACGCCATCTGTAGGACAGCAGGTAAAAGTTGGCCTGTGTTCTGTTGATCGAAATCGCGATCCGCGTCTGGCAGTTTCGACAGAATATAGACCACTTCGAATTATTTTATTCGAAAAAGATTGTTAAAGTTGTATGTTTGGAGCGCGGCGCTGTAGATTAGATTACTGGTCGCAAATAGTTAAGGTTGTGGGATGTTCTAGTTTTAGGGAAATGCGAAGATTAGCTCAGGATAGGAAGGAGTGGAGGTGCGTGTCCAACTAGTCTTAGGACTGACGAGCTTATGATGATGATGATTTATTTAATTAAAATGTTCCATCAAGAGCCAACAAACAGCTAAATCAATCTCGTTTAATAAAAAAATGTGTTTCGATTTACGTAGTTTCGTTTTACGCCATTCGTTTTTACCGCGACATTACCGCAACAGCGAGGACTGCCTATATTAAAATAAAAATAAGTAATTACTATGCTTTCAGCTAAACTAACTTTCAAAATCTTTTCGAAAAAGAGCATTTCTTGGTCTATATTTAACAATAGATACTTATTAGTTTCTACATAGTCATTTCATACCTGTTATTTTGAGCGATGATGGAATTGACTCCTGGAGATAGTAACTTTTGGTGGACATCCTGAGACAGGCCTGCTTGCTTCTCTCTTTCTGCTCGTTCTCTCTGTAATCTATGATGTGGAAAAAATTAATTAAAAATAAAAACTTTCTGTTTTCAACTACGATATAAAAAGGAAAATGATATGAAAAGTTTACATTATAGTAAATCATGTACTTGCTTAATCAGTGGCGTAGCTTCACAAGGTAAGATTTCCTACTACATTCGATTCCGGCGCCACTTCCGTAAACTTCAAATTTAGACTCCTGCTTATAACGAGATTAAAATTAAATGAATACAATTTTATTAATATTATTTGTAATTTATGTTTTTATTAAATACCCACTTCTGCAATCGCGGAATTTTAAAGCACATAGCTACGCCACTGCTTTTCGGTTTGACGAAAAATTAGTTCTATATTTAAATAAATTTAAATATTGATTTCTTTTTTGTAGAGGTTGAAAAAATGTCACAAAGTCGCCAATTGGTGTGCCAATAAAATTACCAATATATTTTTATAAAATCAAAACTATAATACTCAAAGATAAAGAGAATCTGTCGCTATTGGTGCAAGATCCCCTGAGGGTGGAGTACAAATACTGAATTCACAATTACAATTCCTCTTGAGCTTCGCCGTGGACTCAAATCGACAAGTTGATGTCCTTACGGACCTTGTCGAACATTTATGAATTTTACAAACTATAGCATTCTTCAGATGGTTTTCATTACACTGTTTTAATTCATAAGACGATGTTTAAATGCAGCAGGTAGAGTTAGTCTGTGTTTTGTTGGAATTGTCTACGACGTTCTAGCGAGAACCGATAAGGTCAAAATCACGATCCATGTCAGGCAGTTTTGGCAGAATGCTGTTGTGTTGACTACTATTTGAATTTTTGGTTTTGTTTGGTTACGTGTCAACTACATAGGGGTTTTTACGCAGTGGACTAAGACCTGTCAAACATTACGTCATCGTGTATAACGACGACGAAGGAACCACTGGAATTTCGACGTTATATCCGGAAGTAGTTACAGGCAAAGGTATAGAGATGCAGACACGTGTATACAGTTTTCGTCATTATTCAATTTTCAAACGATTTCCCCCTTTTTTTAACAGTAAATGTGTATGTAAGAGTCATACTTATTCAAAAGATTGCTAAGCAGTTGCTACTCAGAATATCACTTTGTAACTGAACTGTTTTAACGTATAACATCTATAAACAAACGATAAAGGTCATCGTACTTGCTGATCATCTATGTGGATTTAAATAAGAAAGCTCTTTGCGTTTTTGGTGGCTGACTCCGGTCACTATATCTGCATGAGATTAGTAGGGATTTGTTACATACGATTTAACGTCGCTATAGCAAAACGGTCGCTACAACCAAGGTCGTAATAAATGAAATCTACTGTATAGAAAATTATAGATGGTGTTGATTACGCTGTTTGTTGTAATTTATTTTGAGCATGTTTTACACCAAGGGCGAAATGTGATTGACGTTAGCGACTACAAAAATTTATTTACCCCCAATTGGCATTGATTTCCAATGCAATATCTACGATAAAAGGGGAAGAAATGATATTCACGAATAGGTTATGTACCTTTTCCTCAATTTAGTTTAAATCACTAATGAAAGATTATTGAAAAAATAAATCGAATTAATCAAAGTTGTAATTATCATTTTTTACTCTTTATTTACAGTTTTTGGAATGCCAATGAAAAATTATTGACACATTACCAATTATCCTACAAATCAAAAACTGAACACATTGTTTTCAGTATATATAACAGTACACATATATAATAATGTTAACTTACCACAGTCCCTAACTTATCACTCCATACGCTAATTAAGCAGCAAAAAAAGATAAGAAGTATTTTACTATATTGAATATCCTTAATAACAAAAACCAAAATGTTTATACCCACAAAAAATATAATAAGAGATCGAATGCGAAGAACCAAAGTCAATGAGGGTTGAAAAGCCGTTTATTCTTAAAAAACTTACCCTCCAATATTTCGCGTTTAGAGGACTTCATCAAGGCTACAAGTATATTATAAAGTTATGCTAATTTATAATGTATGATAATATTTACATTTGCTGAGTTTTTTGTCGGTAGATTGTGTTACTAAGACGAGTAGATATAAGATGTCTCTAGATAAATGACATTGAAAGAGAGAAAGAGTTGTGTAGATTAAAAACTAGTGAATATAATTAATTAACGAATTAAAAGACATATATTATTTGGAAACAGGTTTTTAATTTATCATATAAATTAGTGTTTTATCTATACGATAGTTTGTGTCCTTTAATGTTATTGCATAATATCAATACGTGTCTACCTGAGGTTCTTATTATCTTACAATTAGTAACATAATGTACTGACCCAAAACCTAATAGGTAAGTATAAATAGCGGCATGTATTACATCATAAATTAATAAAATAACCTTATTCTATTCTTGTAAATATATGCCGAAACGCCGGTTGGTGGTTTTGTAAAAACTTTTCACCGAATATTGGTTTTGTCGTTTCGCATTCGTAGAACAAGAGAAAGAAATGATAATTGTAATAAGAGATCTGTAAATAATATATCATATCTAATCAGACAAAGTAGGGAAAGGCGAATATAAAGATAGGAGACGAAAAATTAGAAGAAGTGTCTGATTTTAAATATCCAGGAAGTCACATAAGTCAGGACGGACCCGAGATAAAAATGTTCAGTCTCTCAGAGTCTCTGAAAGCGAGACTCGAGTCTCTCTGGTGTCGCTGAGAGAGACTATCGAGAGACTGTCAAAAAAAATTTTTAGCGTCTCTGAACGAGACTCGAGTCGCTCATTGAGAGGTCCTCATTTCGTATCCAGTCTCTGAACGAGAGACTCGAGTCTCCCAATTTTTCTGTTTTATTCATTCAGTCTTTCTGCGAGAGACTCGAGTCTCTGAATTAACAATTTTATTGTTCGAGTCTCTCATACAGAGACTGTGAGAAATCCATAAAAACACCTACGCAATAACTGAGAGACTGTGAAAGACTGTGAGAGACGTTCTCAGAGACGCTGAAAGACTCTGAGAGACTGGAGAGAGACTGAAAATTTTTGTCTAGGGGAAGGAGTAGTAGGGATTTAAAGCAGAGGATAGTGCAGGGTCGTGTCGCCTTTAATAAAAAGAAGTAACTTCTATGCTCGCGAACGGTTAATTTATAAATTCGAAAAAAGTTGTTTAAGGTGTATGTTTGGAGTTCAGCACTTTACGGGTGCGAAACATAGACAGTGGGTGCGGCGGAAAAGAAAAGGTTAGAAGCGTTCGAAATGTGGTGTTGTAGGCGAATGATGAGGATAACATGGATAGAGTAGGTAAATGAAGAGGTATTAGAAATAATAGGAGAACAGAGGACTCTACGGAAGTCAACAAAAAATAGGCGAGATAGGTTGGTAGGGTACTTTCTCAGGAATGAAGATCTAGTGAGAGACAGAAACAGGAGTTAGAAGGGGTAGAGGTAGACCTAGATTAGATTATTGTCCGCAAATAGTTAAGGATGTGGGTTGTTCTAGTTTTAGGGAAATGCAAAGATTATCTCAGGATAAGAAAGAGTGGAGGTACGTGTTCAACCAGTCTTAGGACTGACGACCTTATGATGATAATAAATCAGAAACTTACTTATTTTTTGATTGCCTCATAAATTGCTGAATTTTTCTAGCGGCTTGATTTTGACGTCGTTGAGAATAGGTTCTTCTGAAACAAGAAATCGTCGAAGATAATTATGTAACTTAAAACAGATTATGGATTAATAAATTGAGAATGTATTTATGATAAAAACTAAAGTCCGTATCACGTATATTTTGTTATTTGGTCAGTAAGCACATTCCTGTCCTTCTTTTCGCTATGACAACCTCAAAATCATTTAAAACCTTTATTGTTTTTTTGAGTTGTTAAGATATACTATCGACTTACTTTATTCCTGAAGCTGGCGTATTGTCTTTATTCGTTTTCCCCTCGTTCTCTTTGAAATTACGATAATAATTATGAAGACTTTCTTGACTCCTCTTGAACCTCTTGTGCTCGCAATACGACCGAAATCCATTTTGTATTACCATTGCGGCATGTGTCATTTGTTTAAAGTATGCGTATTGCTTGTACCTTCTATAATAGTTTTGTATAATGACAGCAGCCGCTCTCTCTTTGTCCTGTTCTTGTTGTTGTCGTCCTTTGTAAGAACGGTAGGCCTTTTGGATTATTTTGGCCGCTTCGTAAAGTTCTCGCTGTTCTTGATCTGCATAAAAAAGGAAAAGACGTTAGAAGCGTTAGAAGTGGTTTGATTTCATTCTGTTTACAATTAAAAAAAATTCAAAGTGAGATAATGATAAATGTAATTCATTTGGTTACCAGAAAGTGTGAGATTGGAAAAATCCTTTTCGAAGACACTTCCTGACGCTTGTAAAAATTCACAGAAGTCAGCAGTGGTTGGAGGAGGTGACGGTGAATCTAACGTAAATGATCTTGGAGACTGTAAACAGCTTGACGATGCAGGACTTAGACTTGAACAGGGTGTACTAACATCGTAGTACCTATAAATGAATTATTCGATGAACCATCAAACGCAAATCATTATTATTTTAGCATCTGATCTTTGACGATAAATATATCGATGGAGCCATCTTGTTTAGTATCAGACGATGATTTATATTATGATATACGCATGTATAAGCGTCATACAATTACGGCATTTAGTTTAATGATTTTTCTGTAAAATCAGTCTGTATGAGGTATGGATGACTTACGTTCCGTTGATATGTATAAAAAGACTATTTACCTAAATTCCGTGCATTGATATATGCATCTCAAAATGCTGTTAAAAGGGTTTCAAAAGCATTCAAATGTAGAGTAAAACTTAAATATTTGTGCTAAAGCCAGAGAAGTCATTAAGCTCGAGTACTATTCCCGCCGTTGATGCGCTGCCATCTCTACAACTATTGAACTTTAGCTTTGGAACGAATATTTGAGTTTTACTCTACATTCAAATGCATTTTAAACCCATTTAACAGCGTATGCATGCACGGACTTTAGGTAAGGTTTTAAAGTTTCCAAATCTGTTTTAAAAATTAGAATCTGTCCCAAAATAATTGAATTGGTAATCGTTGAAAAACTATAAATCCGATACGATCGAATCTTCATAAAAATGAAAGGCGCTCGGCAGAGCAGCCAAGACCAATATTAAGTCGTCTATAACTTTTTCCCTGAGCAATTTAGGCATATACGAATGATAAAAAAAAGATAGCCCCCGAAATAACACACTCTTTTCTTCTTTTATTCTTTTTTGTACTATGAAAGATCACTTCTCAAAGTTGCCTACTGTTTTTTATATCGTTTTATTGCAAACGTTTTTTTTTTTATTTAATTTTCAATGTATCTACTCATTTTTTATTATAGAACACTTATTATAAATTATTACTAATTTTCCGCCTTGAGGAGTGTATATGTTTGAAATTCCCGCTGTACTCAGTCTTTTGATACATGTAAAAGTATTCAAAATTCTACTTATATTTCGACAATATGGACACATTTAAACACGGGTTCTCAAAATGGAAACTTAGTTTATTTGTTCAGAAAATATGTGCTTCCTATTTTGTAAGGAATGCGTCGGAATTAGGTAGAAATATCTGAAGAAGACATCGATAAAGATATTGACAACGATGTCGATATAGCAATTTAAAGCGTAAATGTTTAAGAATGTTTAAGTGGAAAAGAAAAGTTTAAGGCGTTCGAAATGTGGTGTTACATGCGAATGATGAGGATATCGTGGATATAGGTTAGAAAGGAGGAGATAAGATAATTCGAAGTAGTCTGTATTTTGTCGAGACTGTCAGACGCGGATCGCGATTTCGATCTTTTTGGATCTCATCAGCGCGTCGCAGGCAGCTCCGACAGAATACAGAGCAACTTTTACCTGCTGTCTTAACAGTGCGTTTTAGAAAATACTACAAATGGCGCAGTAAACGCCATCTGTAGCACGATGCTACATTTTTGGATTACGTATGCTCCAACAAGGTCCACTTGTGTGGATATCTACTTGCTGAAAACGAATCCCGGCGNCTATATCTTTTTGTCCAGCAATGAGTTTATATAAACTCATTTATGGAATACACCGAGTATTTTTTCGGTTAAATATTTATTTTACTTTTAATTTTTAATCTAGACATCGAAGACGCGATCAACATCATTACAGATAGTATAACTGTAGAGATAGATATAGAGGGGCAGAAGATTATGCTTAGACTTGCAGATGATATAGAAGTATTAGCATCTAGCACAGAGGAGTTAGAGATAACTTTAAATTAAAAATACTAGTATGCAAGAAAAGAAAAAGTACGGAAAGAGCGAATATATGGATAGAAGACGAAAAATTGGAAGAAGTAAGTAGCTGATTTTAAGTATCTAGGAAGCCAGGATGGAAGGAGCAGTAGGGATATAAAGCAGGGGATAGCGCAGGATCGAGTCGCCTTCAAATAAACAGAAATCACTTCTATGCTAGCGAACGATTAATTTAGAAATTCAAAAAAGATTTAGAAAATACTACAAATGGCGCAGTAAACGCCATCTGTAGCACGATGCTACATTTTTGGATTACGTATGCTCCAACAAGGTCCACTTGTGTGGATATCTACTTGCTGAAAACGAATCCCGGCGTAACCAAACTCAATGTGATATACACGTCAGCTTAATCGAATAAAATAATTCGAAGTGGTCTGTATTCTGATATTAGGAAGATTGAGAGAACTATGGAAGTCAATATGAAGTAGGCTATAAGGGTTGGTATGATAGCTTTTCAAGCATGAACTAAATACATTAGAAGCAGAAACAGGTGTTAAGAGGAGTAGAGGTAGACCTAGATTATATTACAATTCACAAACAGTTAAGGATGTAGGTAGCTCTAGTATTAGAGAAATGCGAAGATTAGCTCAGGAAAAGAAAACTTGGAGGTGCGTTTTCAACCAGTTTTAGGACTTACGATTAAAAAAATGAGTAGATCCATCGAAAATTGAAAAATAAAACATGTTTGCAATAAAACAGGGTAAATTATGATAAGAAGTAGACAACGTTGAATATTGATATGTCGAATAACAAAAGAAAATGTGTTTTTCTTTAAGGGCTATCTTTTCTTTAAACATTTATAAATTGTCCAAAAAAAGAAAACTTATTTTGAAATTTTCTAGTTCGTTTACTGTGATTCGATACTAAACTCATTTTTGATAAAATTAGAGCAAGGCCCTTTAAGGATTTAACCCCACCTTCAGTCGTTCTCATGCTTTTCGATCTTACAATTGGAGAAGCACGAACTTCTTTAAAAAATTCATAAAAATGATGATACTTTTTTTAGTAATAAGTATTTTACAATTTTCTACATGATAATAATAATGCAGAAATTGCTTACCTGTAGTTGTTATCCGAAAATTCAAAATTAAATTCGGTGGATTCAAAATTTGCATTGGACTGCTCAAGTAGGGGCTCCATAAAAACATCTGACAATGTTTCAGAAGTGGGCATTATTTCAGATGGTCCAGGGCTGCTATCTAACATCATTTCTTCACTATCATTCTGTAAAATTGCCTTTTAGAGAAAATTATTTTAATTCAATAGCAATTTACCTTAATGCGATCTGGCATTGCGGCAATAATTTGCTCAGCTAATGTTAATACTCTTGCGTCTTGCTCCCCTAGATTTCAAATACTTTATTACTTTATTCAAATATTCATGTCATTCTAAAATATAACTGTGAATGCCCAAAATTTTGTGTGATAATAGATACATTTGAATCAATAGAGAATTAATATTTGGTACTTACATATCTATTATAATGGTTAATTCTTTGGGAAATTTTAAGATAAACTGTCTTTTATTTTTTTTTCAGATTTTTATTTGATAAGTAATTTTATTGAGTAAATATTTAAAAAACAACTACTATTTTTATCTATTGTCTGTAACAAAATAACAACAGAAAATCATAATTTCTTAAAAAACTTGCAATCGTTTCCTTGTGCAGTTTATGCAAACTTTTTCTGTAATTTTAGTTCGACATTAAGCGGGAAACACGTTTTTGACGAAAAATCAGAAAATATACTATAACTTCTTCGGATGATGATTTACTTGAAGAAGTTACGTAGTAGCAGTAGTAGTGTTAGGAGGGTGCGTTTTTAAGTTCGCGGAATAGGTAGGTATTAGTGAGGATACATATTCGAGTCATTACGAATTAAGCAACACATTATTGGTATAAATACCAAGTTTAATCGTAATTAGGTCAGTAGTCTTTGAATTATCGTTGACGAAACAAATCAGTCGGGAACTAATTGTGCAATATGGAGAAAATCGAGTACCGCGCTGTTATAAAGTTCCTTAGCAAATAAGGAAAATCAGTTCAAACCATACTGGAAGAGAATGTCATCCGTTTACGGGGACTCTTGTCCAGGTAAAACCATGGTTTACAAGTGGCATAACCGCTTTAAGCAAATCAGGGACACATTTGGAAGACGACCACGGCCAAACCGGCCGATCGAGGTGACTACTTCGGAAATCATTCAAAAAGTCGAAAAATAAATACTGGAAGATGCTAAATTAAGAAGAAGCAGCTCGCAGAAATGGTAGGAGTATCAGATACAATCATCTTTAAAAATCTTCACGATCATCTTGGTATGACTAAAGTCAGCTCGAGATAGGTGCCGAGAATGCTCACTTCGCTTCAAAAACAAGAGCGTGTGGACTGTTCTCGAGCGTTTTTAGACCTCTGTAGTGAAGATAAAGATGGAGTATTGACTCGAATTGTTACTGGGGACTAAACTTGGGTTCATTATTAAGAAGCTGAGTCTAAATAGGACAAGTGGCACAAAAGAGGAACACCACCACCCAAGAAGTTTAAGGTGTCACAGTTGGCTGGGAAAATCTTAGAGCGGTTAAAGAAAGCAGTTAAAAAGAAACGAAGAGGAAAATTGGCTCACCCACCCCATATTCCTGACTAGCAATTATTACCTATTCCTAAACTTGAAAAAAGATCTACGTGGGAAGAAATTTTCAAGCGACGAAGAAGTGAAGGCTGCAGTTTCGGCGTATTTTTCAAAGACAAAACATTTTTTTTCGAAGGAATACTCAAGTTAATTGAAAGATCTTGAAAAAGTCGCAGGTGAATCTATTGAAAAGGAAAAATAAAATCGTAATTTATTTCCACTTCTTACCCCCCATTCCTCAAACTTAAAAAAGCCCCTTCGTAGTAAACAATATTCAGGGTAGAAATATAATCATGGCGGCTGAAGTGTAAGTTTAACCGAAAATCTTTTCAAACAAAACCCGTTCCCTATTTTAATACAAAATCGCCTATATTATATATCGATTTGATTTACTATACGGAGTGTTCGAAAATAGAAAAAAGGTTTCGTTTAAATGACAGCCCTGTGAAATACGAGTCCAATCGGAAAATATTATAGAAAAAAGTTGTTCGGAATATCAAAATATGGGACTATAAAAACCCCTTAACATTTTTCCATTAGATCCATATTTCGCAGAGCTACCATTTAATTGAAATTTCTTTTTATTATATCATCAATTTTAAATCAAATTTAGATGCTACAGACGATATTGTATTAAAATGGGGAACAAGCTTTGTTTGAATAAATAATAAATTCAGTAAATTTGAATTGATTTCTAAAATTGTTTTAAAAATGTCTCCATTGATGATATCTATAATTATTTCAGTTATCATAAAATACCCTATTAGGCGAATTGTATAAGCTAAAATAGGTTAGGTAGGTGGTTAATGATTCAATTATTTTTTACATCAATGGAACCTTTAATCCAGTGATTATTCTAATATTTAACTGACCGAAAAACTAAAGGAAAGTATAAATTAAAATTTCTCAAAGAATCCAGTCATTAATTTTTCATTTAAAACTTTTTGAACACTGTGTACAAAAATAGTACATAAGTACTTTGAAATTTATTCTCCAAGCTCAAATTGTTCTAGTGCTAAAGAAACATAACATCTCGACTTTTATTTTGTATTTTACATTACTACATCTTAACGAAAACAACAGAAAAAGCCAACGCTATGAAGACGTGCAATAAATAAAGCAAACAGTTTTGCAACAATACCTAACATGCACAGTTTTAATGTACCTACAAACAAAGATAGCATTATTCTTTTGTAATTTTCTGGGTCATTTTTAAACAGATGAGGAAATATACCTGTGTTTTTTACGCAGAGTATTGAATGGTTAGTCACCATAATATATAGCATGTATCGAATGTTGTTAATAGCCTACACACGCATAAACAGGGCGATTAAAATGTTTTGACGATCTTATGCATGACTGTGAAGAGCATTAATCGGTTAATTCAACAATTTAATTAAATTAAATCGTCTTTTAACTTAAATATGGGATCTTCCTCTACAAAAGGTTAACATTCCTTAAGGGTGTACCCCAGTTGTTTGTAATGTTTTGTAAATAAGCTATTGGACCGATTCGACGGGACTTGAATCTTGATGAAGCTCCTGTACAAACTAGAGTGGGTGGATCGGGTTACGAGTTTCGATGACAGCCGGACCACAGGTTCAACCATAATGGGGAGGGGGGTTAAAAAGAAACCAGACTAAGAGAAGTCACTGAAAGAGGGCAGCAGTTTTTTCAGTACTTATGGTGGCGGAGATCATGAGGATCAGTATGGCACTCTGATGGACAATACTTTTCTTTTTTTAATGTTTTCATGGGAGAGGGGATATCTTCAAAAGACACCCAGCCGTCCGTACGACTGGGTAATGTCGGATTCCCGAGGAAGAGGTCCTCGCACAATACTGCGACGTGGAAGGCAGTGGGAAATAACTACATTATGATATCCTGAGTACAACATTCTTTTACAACTTTACAACTTAAATGATGGCGTCCTCTAGGGCAAGGACTCCGGATGTAAATAAGTCCTCCATTATCGTCGGCTAAGTTTCTACGATTTTTCGCTTCTTTCACTATAAATAAGATACCGTTACAGTCTAATTTAGTCGAAAATTACATAGGCTCGATCGGATTATTAGAATACGACAAATTATGTACACCAGTATTGTCATAGAAAAAGAAGGAGAAGAAGCGACTTTTATATATTTAGCAATATAGTTACAATGTAATTAATAACCCAATAACCTACCTAACAAGATAATTGGGGAACTATCACAGGGTGAGTGAAAACGGGTAAGCCGTCTTACCACCCTGGATCTTCCTGACCTTGAATTCGACTCGTGATTACCGACTCTCGATTCGACTCCACTATTATTATGAGTTCCGCAAAGTAAATGGCCGCTAATTGACTTACTGACACAGTAGGTAGGTAAGTATGTGTTAGCATACAGTTTTAAATAAACAATTTAGATTTGGCAACTTTGTACCAGTGACTTGAATAAGAATTTGTGGATACTATGTAATAGTTTGGAAAACGTCATCAAGATAATATATATATAAGGTAACGAAATGGGTAACCGGGAAGGGTACACACAGCATTCTCTGTAACAATCTGACCCAACTGAATCTAATCCATTAATAAGCTGCCACATGACAATGCAAACAAATTTCCATCTACCAAAGGGTCTTATTGCTGAATTACGTTTACAATTTTACGAATTTCGAGAAATACTTTTGTGTTCGTATTCTCTGGTGTATATGAATTAAAATTGCCTAATAAAAATCTATGCTCGCGAACGGTTAATTAAGAAATTCGAAGAAGATTCTTAAAGGTGGATGTTTGGAGCGCGGCACTGTACGGGTGCGAAATATGGACGGTGGGCGCGACGGAAAAAAAGGTTAGAATCGTTCAAAATGTGGTTTTACAGACGAATGATGAGGATACCGTGGATAGAGAAAAGTAGATATGAAGAGATATTAGAAAGAATAGGAGAAAAGAGGAGTTTATGGAAGTCAACAAGAAATAGACGAGATAGGTTGGTAGAACACCTTTTCAGGCATGAAGGTCTAGTCGGAGACATATTAGAGGCAGAAACAGGAGTTAGGAGGAGTAGAGGTAGATCTAGATTAGATTACTGTTCACAAATAGTTAAGGATGTGGGATGTTCTAGTTTTAAAGAAATGCAAAGATTAGCTCAGGATAGGAAAGAGTGGAGGTGCATGTCCAACCAGTCTTAGGATTGACGACCTTATGACGATGATGAATAAAAATCGATTTTTTAATGTTATGATAAGGGGGCCCTTTAATTTTTAATAATATTTTTGATCTGAATGGTACATCAATACATTCTAGATCGTAATTTTTGACCCTATAAGTCCAATAGTTTATATAGTATATTTTGTTAAAGAATTCTGCGATCATCAATTAAATTATGGTACATTTTAATCACCCTGTACTCATAAAAACATATTTAAGGGTTAGTGGAGTTATAAAGATAATGTAAACAAGAAAACACCAATAATAACATCGACAACAGTTTGAGTAATCAGAGTAGTAGTGGAGCAACACCGACAAACAACAGTTAGATAAGTATTAGTGACAATTAGTTAGACATCACACTGACCTACGGCACTATTTCGGGTGTCCGAGTCATCATCAGACACTGCTTCCACGTCAATTAGGGGACTATTGCTTCGGGGTTCACTACCCGCTTCGCCTGTATCACCATACCAAAAAAATTAAGTCATATGCGCTTACTATTCGTATCGATCTTTTCAAATGTTCAAAAGAAATTTTACACTAGATTTAAGAAATATTATGTGGTATTCATGAAAGCTGTTATAATTAAAAAATATATTTACAGGTTTTTTGTAATTAAATAACTCATTTTGTTATTTAAGCAAGTATCCAATGGGTACAAAAAATTTACACTTGTAATAATTAATACTTAAAAATATATAATATATTTTACGAAATTATTACTTAGAATTGTCATTGTGTTGGATATGTTCAACTTGTTAACTTTCATAAATACCAAAACGCATTTTCTATAGACTCTCATTAAAATTAAATTTAACATTTTACAGATTTTACTGTTTTTTTAACTTACTTTAGTATCCTATCTTTGAAACTTTTAAAAAATTATTATTAAATAATTTATAATGGTGAACAAATTGGTAATGACATACTTGCACCTGGAAGAATATGGAAATTGGCTGTGGTGACCTCATAGTAATGGAAATCAAAATTTGACTTTCAGTAATGAGAAGTTCTCAACATTCTCAATATGTTATTTTATAAATAAATTTACATCTGTTTTATATACGGTGTTACTAAAATATTACTGGAAAAGTAGTTTACTCGATTCTTTGCGATGTTTTGATTCTTTGAATAATTATGGAATAACTAATGTTAAAAATTAAAACAATTAAAAAACCAAACCTATTATTGAAAACGTATGATGCACGTACTGGCACTATTCAAGTAAGTTTCGCTATTTTCTTCTCCTTGCACTAAGAATAAGGCAATCTAACTAGTTAATTAGTTTGCTTAATAATTAATCATAAGTGGTTTTTCAATTTCTGCAAAGAACGGAATAACATACTATTTTGGTACATTTTTGCAACACTGTGTATATATCAAATAAAAAGACAATTCAAAATAAATACATGCATTTAAAATTATTGAAAAAAATAATTATTATGACTAAAACTTCTTTGATCCTACCTGCAATACTTTGAATTTTAAGATAAAGAAAATTTGAAACTTACACAAAGCAAAATCCATTTTACGTGATTTAGAAGTTTCTAGGGTTTCGTTGTCATAAGACCCATCCTGGCTAGATAAAGGTGAACAAATTGGTAATGACATACTTCTATCAAATCTATAATCAACATACACAGTAATTTATTGTACAATTTATACAAATATTATTATTAGTAATAATTTACCTGGTTAACTTTAAACACTCTTTGCTTCTGGTACTTTTTGGTCGAAGTAATGGAGAATTATCGGAAGAAGTCATGTTGATTCCACTATCAATGGAAGGGCGTTTGACTAACCCTCCGCCAATCGAATTTCGGCTTTGAAGGTTCGAGTCAGACATTAGTGAACTTAAAATGAAAGAACATGCATCAATGATTGATTAAATATCCTTCTAACTGAAATGATAATTACCTTGTCATTATTCCAGGTTTCAAAAAGACTCCATCGTGCGATTTACTATTAGAAACTGCAGAAGCTATGGAAGTTATCGAACTGGCAGGAGAAATAGTTGGAGGACTCGGGTTGTCTGCTGATGCGATACTTGAATGCAAAATCAAATTTGCTTTTTCCCTTCTAGCTTCCAATTTTTCTAACTCTTTCACAAGCGCTATATGACGATTTGATTTTGCAACTTCAAGTGGCGTTTGCAATGACGAATTTTTAATATTAAGAGCCGTATGATTCCATCTGTAAAGCATTACAGCTGTTTCCGTGTGACCTTTACTGCATGCCCACATCTGGAAGAAAAGAAAATACAATGGGCATTGAAGTACTTGAACTTTTCGTATAAAATTACGCAGAGCTTAAAAGATCATAAGTATTTACCAGAGGTGTGTTTCCATCTTCGTCCTGACTTAGAGCATCAACTTCTGTTTCTAACAACAATGATGAGTTTTCTGCCCTCCAGTGGAGTAGGGCACAAACGAGCCTAGAATAGCCTAAAGAAGCTGCCAAATGCAGCAACGTCATACCTCGGTGACTTGCGAACCATGAGACACTAAGTTCTTCTCCATATTGCCATACCCGTGAAGTCATCGTTTGGCAGTATGATACTAATCGATCTTCAAAATTAGGCTGCATAAAAAGCACAGTATCTTCAACCTAAATTGGATAAGAAAAATTGGAGTACATGAAAAACTTTTTATAAAATCTTATTTAAGAGCATTACATGGTCAGATCCATCAGTGGGTTCCTGTTTTATGTGAAGTCGATCATCCATTGCCTCTAGTCTCTGTAGTAACGTGAATTTAAGCAAATTGTCGTTCGATTTCTCAACTTTGGGCTCTAACAACGTTACTTGTTCTTCGCGAGATGGTAATTTGTATTCAAATATCACAGAGTTTGATATCACACAGCCATTACAAGCTACCTGGAGCGTTGCTAAACCCACTTCGTGTGCTAAAATTCAGAAAGTTAGTGCAGTGGACGTAGAATAGAAAATGTGTTGGTATTATATAATGCAACAGATTACAGTATGTGTGCATTTAACATCTACCTGAATAATTCAGTCAATGAACCATTAATTCAACAAGCAAATTAGACAGAATTTAACCTTAAAATTGGTACCTAGTTTCTTTCATCCGAAGTGAAATTGCAATAATTCCTATGAATATCACAGGAAGTAAAACAATGATCAAGAATTGTTAATATTTAGTGCTTTTTAAATAATTTTTATATTTTATAATTGAATAAATATTCAAGCGTACCGGGACAATAGCAACGAAGTACTCCATCTTGTACAAGAGTAGTGGGTACGGGAAAATTATCGAAAAGTACTGTGTATGGTCCAGAAGAGTGCCAGGGACCCGTCACCAGTACTTTTACCCCTCCTTCCGGATATGCCCATTCTGGAGAATAATCCGTTATCTTAGCTGAGCTTTCCCCTCGGGAGTTTTGCTGGGATTGAGAGGATTCGTTTTGTTTTGAATGCTCTTGTCTTCCCTCTTCAGGATTATTGACTTCAAATAATCCGTTATGGCCGGAATCTAACGCATCAAACTCTGGAAACTCTCCTAACATATCAAAAGCGTCCAAATTGACAAACACGTCGTCGTCTACCACATGAGTGGGACTTACAACGTCGCAATTATCAATGAAATCCATAGGATTGATATCTGTTGCAAGGGACTGGTCGTGGTGGTGGTGGTGTTGTTGCGATTGCTTGTTGTTGATTCCTCTGTTCCTATTGCTTGAAGTATTGCAGGAGTTTTGATGCGATTCTAGATCGGCTGAACACAGTGGCATATTAGCGGATAACGTTTTCTGTATGTCTTCTTGAGACAGATCAAGGGTTTCATTAAAGAAACCTCCGCTTATGACGGACGAATGCTCGTTTTTGCTGGCCAACGATCCACTGGAATCGGTGTCCAAGAGTACGACGGAATCATCGCAAAAGTTTTGATGCTTAAAATCGATAACTTCTTCGTTGCTTGTATCCATTCGTTTCGATGGAGTGGGCGGAGCTGATACCATGACCATTTCGTTTAAGTGGCCGTCGTGTTGTTTTTGATGTTGATGATTGAACGAGAAATCGTTCACAGTTGATTGTCTGATATCCATTTTGTTTTCTCTTTTATTGTTGGTGGGTGCTACATTTTGATTAGGTTGCTGTAAGTACGCACTGGCCAGTTGGGAATCCATTACTTCCTGTTTAAGAACGAGTGACGGTGTCTTATTCATTCTATCCCTGTTCTGAGCTCGTCCTGCTGTGGTGCTTGAAACGTAGTTTGAAACTGAAACTGGTGCGATGAAAGACTGATGACTGTTATTGGAAGAATTAGTGGCCGAATTGCTATTCAAAATTAGAAGTCCTCCGCCGTTTTGTATTTGCGACAAACTCAAAACTAACGGGGCAGGATTGTTTGAATTTGTTGTGGCATGATTGTTGCCTTGTACGTGATGATTCCTAAGGTCTCTTGGGTATACTCTGTTGGAATGGTTGTTGTTTAAAAGGGTTCCGGTGGTAGAGGACACTTGATTATTATCTGCTCTGCTAGGGGGGCGGGAATTCGAACTAGAAGAAGCTAAAGAACTGGAAACATCGTTCTTCGGTGTTCCAATTCTACGCATGGGGTGTGAGCAGGATTTTCCATCAGCGCATGTGGAATCTGGACAACCACATTCTAGCTGTTTTACTAGAGCTGCTTGACGAGCAACTCTTTGTTTTTCCATCAGTTGACTGACTATAGTTTCTACGGTTTCAGCGGTCTTAAACAATAAAACGTGTATTTAGAAAAAAATAATAATATAAAAATGTAATTCTTTTTAATCTACAAGAGATAAAACTGATGCAAGTAGAAAAAGGCTCTTTTTACCGATATTTCTAGTTCGTTGTTGAGATCGGGTTCTTCTTCGCTGAAAAACATTGGCTTTAGCTGTGAAATAAGTTCTTCTTTTGTCCATTCTTTCTTGTCTGCCCAAAGGGAAAGGCTGGGAGTTATGACGGCCAGTTTGTTATCATCGGGATAGGGAACGTTTAAATAATGCACCAATACAATGTCAGGATTCTATGAAACATAAATAGTATTGTTTTCATTACTTATCCGGTTTCTTGGTGGTATGAAAATTTTGGTTGGAGAAATCTTTGCAAAATCAACTCATTTCTGCCGCATATTTATTTTTACATGAATTCTTTATGGAAAAAAAATCTTATAACAAATTGGACTACTTGGTTGTTACAAAAATATACACAGGTAGTTGAAACTAATTTTAAATTCTTTTTGAAAATTATAATTTTAGAATCCAGCAATGAATAATAAGTAAAACTGAGGCGCGCCATTAAATTAATAAATGGCATTATTTGGAATTTTAATCACACCATTTACTGGCAGTTTCGTATTTGTGGGAAACCTGTGCAGAGAAGTGATCGGTCTTGAGCTTTCACGTATGAAGTAATTCGATTAACCGAGAGCTTATGAAGGATTGAAGTCTTATAATTAATTCAATTAATTTAGAGATTACCTGAAGAAGCCAATAACATCTTCTGTGGAACGTGGGTAGAATTGCCGAATGAACGTAGCATCCATAAATGCACTGGAACAAACATAATAATATTGCATTCCATGTAATAGAAAACGTTGTCATTCGAAATTATAATGTAATTAACGTAATGTAATACAATGAGTGGACCATATCAATGTTCTTGACATTTATTCTGGAAATCGTTCAACTGTGATGTTACCGGAAATGTATGAAATTTAGGAATTGTATTGTTCCTAGGAAATGTATACAATTCCGAGACTATTTAGGAAACCTATAAAATATTGTTTCAAAGATTTTTAATACACACATATCCTCGAAATGTATACATTTCCTAGAAATTGCACTGGGAAATGTATAAAACAAATGTTTTTTGTGAACAACATGAATGAAACACGTTTGTAAACTGAGTTTATTCGCCTGATGTATATGCATTAGTGACGTTATTATTGTATGGTTAACAGGTAGATTTATGACAGACTTTAGTTTCTTTAACGCCGCTGCTGATATGTTAGAATAATATCTTCGAAAAGTATGCTTCATTATGATCTCCGCGCCCAAATGACCAGCATTATCATCTCTATAACATACTTAAAATTCAAGATCATCGTGTTTGCTAAAACAAAGATAATTTCGTCACATTATTCTAATATGTAACATATCAGCAGGGACTTTATAGATACTCCGGTCTTTCATAAATCTCTATAACTAAACAACGACGTCACCCATGGATATGGGTAAATTTCCAAACAACCTGCCGTATTATTGCCTATTTAGTATTACCTGTAATACATTTCCGATTGCTATTTAGGAAATGTATGGATTTCCTAGGAAATGTGTCTAATATAATCTATTTCACACATATCTGGGCGATTTTAGGAATTATACACACATCCTAGGAATTGTATACAATGACGGATTTCATACATTTCCGGTAATATCTATACGTAAATGTGGTAAGTAGGTAAAGTGATTCGGGTTAAGTTGAGTACTTTTATGCTTAATGCATTATAAATTATGAAATAATGCTATTCCATTTCATAAATGAGCTCAGTTTTACATGCAGAATAAGGGTTTATTAAGTTTTAAAAATAAAACTGAAAACCCTCGCATGCTTTAGCTTTCGAATCATACCTACATAATCTGAAAATTCTTCATAAATGCATGTAGGTAACATATAATCATGCATCAATGAAGTATTTGCCTTTTCATGGTTACCATTTGTATCGAAAATTGAAAATGATGGATTAACTTCTTTCTAGAAAAAAATCTACGAGCACACCTCAAATAACTGTAAAGATCTAAATTTCTATAGACATAATATACAGAGTGTTCCACCTACGACGGTTTTGTTCATAACTTTGATAACATACTTTTTTTCATAAAAGTGGTTTGGAATCATATGGTACATATACATAAAATATTTCATACAGAGTGCTCCATTTCTTCTGGACGCTACCTAACATCGTTATTTTAAAAGAAACCTGTGATTTGGACAGTTAGTTTAGCACGAATGACTTTATCTCTTTTGCTATCAGCAAAATGTGTACGTTATTCAGAGCCGGAAATATCGAAACCTACTTTTGACAATTTTATAGACGAATAACTTTTTTGTTAATGGAATGACCTCTATTAAATGATACTGTTTTGCCGCTCTTTAAGTAAAGCTAAGCTCATCTTGATAATCTTGTTTCTACCTTTATAGATCTTTTTCGATGGAGTCGAGTGTTTTTATTAAATAACAAGTTCTTTTCCTTTATCAGTCACTGTGAGCTCCAAACTGTTACTGTTAGCATCATTGCTTCGAGAGGTCAAAATTCACTTTTGCGAACAATTTGTTTAATCACCTTCTTTGTGTTAAAAATTGTTTGAAAAATTAAATTTCAAGGAGTTGTTTGTAAATAGGTACATCGTACACTTTAGCATAAGAAACTGCTGACACCAACTTCCATTTAAGTAATACTACTTTACCCTGTGCCGACAGCACTTATAATTTTTTTTATGTACAATATTTATTTACTTATGTTATTTACTGCGCCTACTGAAATCAATATAAGGAGTGGAATTCGTATCTGTTTTCACAAACGGCGCCGTGTCAGCCAGTTAGTCGGAAAAGTATAGTGTAAACAGTAAAAATCAACTTACATTCGAATTACAACAGAATCCAGACAATCTGAAATCCATTTTACCCGAATGAAGTCACGTAAAATAATTTCTTCGTTTTAACGGAAATAGTTCGACAAATCTTCTGAATAATCCGAAATAAAAAAACGAAGCGTTTTGCATTCTGTCGGTGGTTTCTTAGGCGCGTCTATGCTCATTATTATTAATTTTATTATCTAGGTACATTTTTTCTAAAATTCTCAGATGTGAATTGCTTAAAAAAGTAGCAAGTGGTTTTACTGTGGGATACCTACTGAAGAGTGAAAAAAAATCGCACAAAAAAATTGAAAAGTGGCTCAGCGTTCTGACATCACTGAAGCAGCCATAGAAAATTTTGAAAAAAGACCGAGCGGCATGGCCTAGAGATTTAGACTATTGCTTAGCATTTGGGAGGACGCCGTTCAATTCCAGGCCCGTCTGCCTTGGTTCAAGTTTTCTGTGGTTTCCTTGGATCACTTAGGCAAATGCTGGGGCAGTAATATTCCACAGATAATCTTTCATTCTCTTCTGTCTTCATTTCGTCCGTCTCATCTTTGTTACCCGAACCACTACCCATCCGTTCCCACGATTCCTGAAAGGAGGCTGAAGGGGGCCGTCAGCCCTACGTTCCGGCGTAATCTAGAGAGACTGCCCGCCCACCAACGTTAAATGCTGGTGGGAATTAAATAGTTCTAAATATATATTGCGGATAGATATTAGCTGTATGCTTTTCGTATTCAGAATACAAAAGGTCGATTACTTTGTTTTGCAATAAAAAATTACGTTGCCTACTCCTAAACTTAAATCCTAAAAAAAGTGTAGTAAAGTTGTAAGATTTGAAAATTTAGTCAGTTATCTAATTATTCCTTATAGTTGGAGATTTGTGAAATATTTTCAATAGTATAAGGAAATTGAAAGCGTATCAATCATTTAATAATTGATTGAAAAGTGTTACTGATTGTGCTAAATAACATTCTAAATGTATATTTATTTAATTTATGGAACAACAATAATCAAAACAAATGTTTATACCAAAAAGGTATTTGGTAACGTTTCTATAGCGTAAAAGATGTATAATTAATTTTATCGAATTAAAAGTTAATTATTTCATGAAGGGATTTCTTTTGATGTGATATGGTAGAGAATATAACTTCCTATAATAAAACTGTATATTGGCTGTTTTAGTAGCAATATCTAGATTAAAAGTATTTCAGTTTACTAGATAACTACTGACGATAAGAAAGATTAACGATTCCTAAAATTAGGGCGGCTCTATTTTTATTTATGTACTTTTCGAAACGAAAATCCTCGGCCTACCAAAAATCCATTAAGTATTATAAAGTAATAGTTGAGGTCGACGAACATGACTTTCACTTTTTAACTTTTCCGTCATATTGACGAATGATTTTATGAAATATATAAATAAATAGCACTTTATGACTTTCACAATTTTTAATAAAAGAACTTAATTAATAATATTGTCTCGCTACACTGCGATTTCTTCAGAAATAGAAACAAACTTGTTCTTTTAATAAAAATTACAAAATTCTTTTTATTTGCGCACGATATGTAATGTCATCTTGATGTAAAAGTAGATAAGTAGATAAATTAATTAGCTATTATTTATAAAATGTATTTCATTCTTTGTTTTTTGATACGATAAACAGTATAGGCGAGATAGGTTGGTAGGACACCTTCTCAGACATGGTCTAGAAACAGAAGTTAGGAGGGGTAGAGGTAGACCTAAATTATATTACTGTTCGCAAATAGTTAAGGATGTGGGCTGTTCTAGTTTTAGGGAAATGCGAAGTTTAGCTCAGGATAGGAAAGAGTGTAGGTACGTGTCCAACCAGTTTTAGGACTGATGACCTTATGATGATGATGAAACAATATAGTCTTTTATTTTATTCAGTACATTTAAATTTAAAGTTTCAATGAATAACGTTTTACGTAATCCAAATTTTATATAGATGTACAGGCATTTGTTGTGCTAAATGATGTTATGATATTATGTCAGCTCAATACAGAACAAACCGAAAAATATTATGATTCTTATTTATATTTGAGACAATGAAGTGAAATAAGTCGCTGCATTATCTCGCAGTTCCGGAGACATGAAGATGAAAATTGCAAACGGTACATTCTTAATAAGGGAGCCATGTTGTTGCGATACATTCGCACAGCCTGCAATTTTTAATATTCGTAAAGCACAGTACCTAGCAAGAGCAGCGGCAGCAGTCAGTAATAGTAGAAGTCAGGCCAAAAGAAATGGGATAGAGATGATGAATGAGTTTCATTAAATTCGTTGTTATCGTTAGTATTAGCTTATGCTTTGGAGAATATGTTGCTACTCCCGACGAAGCGAACCGACGCGGTACGGCGCGTTCAGTCGCTCACGGTCGCTAGTAACAGATGCTTTCTTCATTTTCAGGTATCATTTATAATGGACTCCGATTTCGTACGACAAGTGCACAAGGAAAATTATTGGACCCACGGCTGGAAATCGTATGTAAACGCATTCGAAAAATTTGAACCTTGATTACGACAGGCTAACTGTCTACAAGGAAGAAGTATTCGGTAAAAATCGTTATTTTAAAATTACAACAATTATTGATTTAAGATGGTAACTTATAATGTAACTGTCTTATAATTAGAGTTGCCAACTTTATTATTCATATTTTCAGAAGGAAGATATCAGATGTACAAGTATGAAATGTGGATTTCCAACAACAGATGACGCGGCAATGTTGTTGAACAATGGTGACTTCGATGTTTCAGACAACGAACGCCAAAAAAACATGAAGATGTGGAATTGCAAGTACTGTTGGACGAAATACAAAGCAATTGGGCGTCAGTCAACAAGCTGTTTTCAATAGACTACGCGAGCTGGGAAAGATTCAAAAGTCCGGTAGATGGGTACCACAAGTACCACATGAGTTGAACGACAGGCAAATTGGAAAGTGCAGAAACACATGTGAAATTATGCTTGTTTGGCACAAAAAGAAGTCGTTTTTGCATTGGATAGTTATAGGGGATGAAAAGTGGATTTATTTCCCCAGGTGCACCATCCAGATCGACCGCAAGACCAAATCGCTTTGGTAGAAAGACGATGCTCTGTGTTTGGTGGGACCAGAGGGACATGGTCTATTATCAATTGTTAAAGTTTGGGGAAACGGCGAATACTCAACTTTACCATTAAAGATTTGAACCGTTCGCCACTTGAAAAAAGGGAAGCGCTCAGTCCTACCCCATGCGGCTTACTCACCAGACTTGGCTCCTTCAGATTATCACTTGCTTGCATCGATGGATCACTCATTTGCTGAGCAGCGCTTTGATTCGTACAAAGATGTGAAAAAATGGCTCCGTGAATGGTATTCACAAATTGCCCGAAAGATGAAAAATATATATCACAAGCGATGGAGCATACCTTCAATAAAGCAGCTTTATCATTCTTCCGAACTGAACATGTTTTTTAAAACAAAATCCGCATTTCATACTAGTACACCTGGTAAACATGAAAGAAATTGTAGAGACATTGAGGCAATCATGTATTGTCTATTTTAATTCATAAAAAGGAAACTGCAAACAAAATCAAGGACATTTGGAGTCCTCAGTTACAGATTACATTAATCTTGAATGAGAACATTCTATTAAAAGTTTGTTAAAAAGGCTAATGCATATACATATATGTGATCATCATCATAAGGTCGTCAGTCCTAAGACTGGTTGGTCACGCATTTCCACTCTTTCCTATTTTGAGCTAATTTTCGCATTTCCCTAAAACTAGAACATCCCACGTCCTTAACTATTCGTGAACACTAATGTAATCTAGGTCTATCTCTACCCCTCCTAACACCCGTTTCTGCCTCTAGTATGTCTCTGACTAGACCTTCAAGCCTGAGAAGGTGTCCTACTAACCAATCTCGCCTATTTCTTGTTGACTACCATAGCCAATGTTCATTATTTTCTTGTTACATCGTATTCATTTCATAAAAAGTTAATGTAATTTCCTCAAGTGCATATACATATGTCTACTAAAAATTACATTCACATATTTTTTTGTGTATTAACTTTGATAAAAATTTGTAATCTATTTCTTTTTAAAGCTATTCTCTTTTGTGCATTTAGTTCCAATCCATAAAAAAGACAAGAAATCACAAAAAACAGCAAAAGTAAATTTTTATCCTGTTCTAAACCGTAATTTGACTCCTTCTTTGAATATTCCCGTTGAATGGATATAATTTGATTGTTCAATATGTGCTACACTTTTCTGAGATATTCGTCGGGCTTTCAGCGACCCGACTCGACGCTTGTACTGAAGGCGTCGTTGTCAGCGTCGAATCTTTCAATTTCCGTTCGAACGATATTAAAGCGCTGTTACTCTAATGATTATCCGGTCTTAATTCTCGTAAGTTACAAACCCAGCCGAATCGGAGCAAAATAGGGAGGAGAGCCGAAAAAGACAGTGACATCCTGCAAGAAAGAGATTTGCAAGAAGATTTGCATAGATTGACGACAACGGATGACAACTCGAGTTTAAGAAGAATTACAAAATTGAACGAGTTCTTGTAAACTTCTTGCTAAGTTTAATATTGTAACAAAAGCTCCTATTCTACAGAAAACGGAAAAACGAACAAATGTAGATTGTTTGGATTTTTTGGTTTTACTGTGATAAAGCTAATACGTAAATAAATAAAATGACATTAAATTCAGAAAAACTTTTATTAAATAAATACGTGATTGAAATTGAATCAATGATTAATAACTAGGTAGAGAATTTGGTTTTTGTAAAGGCCGGAATATTGAATCGAATTTAGCTAGTTATTCGTGGAAAATCCTGTTTTCTATGGCAAACAATGTGCAAGTAGATAGTATTTACACGGACTTCAGTAAAGCCTTCGATTCAGTCAACCATGTTGCATTAATAATTAAATTAAAATATTTCGGTTTTACTCAGCAAATAGATGGCTCAAAAACTATTTGTCACACACAGTACAATATGCTAGATATAAAAACTTTGTATCTAGAGGAATTGATGTTCTATCGGGTGTTCCACAAGGCTCACATCTAGGCCCTCTTTTGTTTAATATTTTTGATGATCTTTCGTGTGTGATAGATGAGGCCGAGTGTTTGTTATTTGCGGACTATTTAAAAATTTTTAGAACTGTAACTAGTGATCAAGATACCGGAAAATTGCAAGCGTGCTTTGATAAGCTTTTTACTTGGTGCTCAAACAATGACATTTCTCTTAATATAAAAGAAATGTAAAGCTATAACTTTTTCTAGAAATAGAAATCAAATAAATTACACTTACAAACTCAATGATGTGATATTAGACAAAGTAAGTGAAATCAAAAAAAGGTCACCAACTATTCTTAGAATTTTGTATCTATTGTTAGTTAGACCAATTCTGATGTACGCGTCAATGATATGGTATCCCATTGCACAAATTTATATTAAGCAAGTCAGAACCGTTGAATATAAGTTTTTTAGAATATCAGCGCCACGGGTAGGTTCACCTGACCCTTTCATTGATCGCACTTATACAAACCTATCAGAGTTTTTGCATATTCCGTCTCTTGCTTCTCTTAGAGTCCCTTGTGATTTGAAATTTTTGTATAAATTGGTGATCACAGATTGTTCAACGTGACTTTTTACGCCTGACTAAGAAGTACACAGAGAATAGGGCAAAGTTTATGTAAGAACGATTGGATTAGTAGGAAAACGTTGTTCAATTCGACGGTTAGAAGTGTAGCTCTTTATAGGGTAGAAGTATGAAGCTGAAATGAACACAAACAGGTGGAAAACGTTTACAAGAAGTACATAAAGTGGATTTTCAGGGTTGGAGGAGTATACACCGGATTATGTTTTACGGAGGGAATTAATGGAATTATGGAGGAAAAAGATTTTAAAAATTCGAACAAAAAATAAGATATGACAAAAAGGGATGAAGCTTTAAACGGTTTAATGTTGAATCAGGAATAATTGAATGAATGGGGAAGAATGGGAGTATGCGTCGAGGAAATGGTGAAGATAAGACGTAAGAGATGATGATGGGAGAAGAAATATGAAGGCTCTACAATTGCAGAATTGGCAAGGAGACTGCATACCAGATTATTTGAAGGGAATGAATGATGTGGACGTAATAGCAAGGTTTAGAGTTGGAAATGAAAGTAGAAAATGTAAGTATTGGACGAAGGAAGAAGAAAGGATATGTAGGATATATAAAAGGGAAGATAAAACAATGATGCATGTGCTGGGTGGATATGAGGATATTAATAATTTGAATGATTGTAAGGGAACATTAAGTAGGAGGAGCGATGGGCTGATCATGTTAATAAATATAATTAAAAAAAGAAAGTATTCTTGAGAAGATTGATAGAGTTGACCTCTACTATATATATATTTTATAAGTTGATCATAATGATAATGATATTTGGTAAAAAAACACTTTTTGAATACTTTCACTTAATTTTTATTAAATTCTTAACAAGTTTCGACCTACAAGGCCATCTTCAGAAGAAGGATTAATGATTATTAATATATAATAAATTTTCAAAAGGTGTTTTTTTACCAAATATCAAAAAAAGAAAGGCTTTGATTCAAACGATGGATGATGACTAGGATTGCCCCTAAGGAAGGGAGAGGTGTAATTTTTATTATTTTTACCCTTTTTGCTTTTATTTATTTGTTCACAAAATTGCTTTTGTCTTGATTTTTTTTGTTTGTTTTGGTTAAGATTTTCTTGGTAGAATTAATTTTTAGTTACTTTGTTTTCGCCAGTTTAAGCTCCACGTCGAGTGGTACGAGATTTGACTGTAGTTGTTTATATTTTTTGATATGTAGAACTTGTGTATATAGATAAATAAATGCTTAAATAACTGTTTCTAGTTAATTTCTTATGAATTATGCTACTTTCTTCTTTCAAAAATCCTAAAATGAAGCAGAGAAAATGCTGTCATTGAATAAAATTTAGATGTTATCATTTCCCACTTTTAACTTATACGACAATTTTAGAGACTACAGAAGACGGAGAAAAGGACAAAAAGCTTTTATAAACATATATTTTAGGTTATCATTACCATCACGCCACCAATGAAGCCAAAATTGTCAAATTTCGTACTAAATTGGAACGCTCTCTAAACTTCTAACCATAAATCTTTAAAAATGCCTTGAACTTGCCTATCTATGCAAAGTGACGTATTCTTGCTATTTGAATTTTTAAGTTAATTCCGTTTTCTCGTCACCATGAACTAACTCTCCATGATATTATCCAGCACATAGCAGTAAATTTTAATTGCGCATAAATATTTTAGTGCATTTTAAAAAATCCATAAAGACTCTCAATCAACCAGTCTTCTTCAATAATAAAAGCACCTTTATCATCTTGCAATCCTTTATGCATTAGGTATCCATCTATTATGAGTGCAATTTCAAACGAAACCATTGCATGAATTCGGCATTAAAACGTATTTAGATTATATTATTAATCAAAGAGGAAACAAAAGTCTTACCTCTGTTCCTTGAACTTTGAGTTTCATATGATCTTCTCTTGTTGTTTTTCCGTCTTTTCTTTTCTTCCAACAATAACCATCTCGTCGATATCGTACCTTCTTCCGGCTGTATAGAAGCATCGATCCACTTTTGGGCCTACAAGATAATAAATTATATCAACAACGCATAAGTTTAGGTGAATTCATTGCATTTGAATCATTTGCGTATAGTGCCCGAGATAAAAATGTTCAGTCTCTTAGAGTTTTTGAAAGCGAGACTCAAGTCTCCGTCTCTCATTGAGTCTCTCTGGTGTCGCTGAAAGGGACTGTCGAGAGATTGTCAAAAAAACTGTTTAGCGTCTCTGAATGAGAGACTCGAATCTCTGAATTAACAATTTTATCGTTCGAGTCTCTCATACAGAGACTGTGAGAGATCCATAAAAACACCTAGGCAATAACTGAGAGACTGTGAAAGACTGTGAGAGACGCTGAACGACTCTGAGAGATTGGAGAGAGACTGAAAATTTTTGTCTACAGTGGCTGTTAAAATAAATTTATGCAGTTCATATTCACAGATTGATATAGTTTTGGCGAGTTATTCTCAAATAACTTATTTTACTGATGTTTTCATAGTTAATATAATATTATATGGTATTTGTGTACACTATAAATGTAGAGGGTGATTAGTTTTCGTTCCAATGAGCACTTTCGCTCTTAATTTACCAAAAAACAATTCTAATTTTGTGAATAACTTTTGTAGTGTTAAATATTTTTTTTTTCTTTTGGATATAATCATACAACTAAAACTTTTTTTAACTGAAACTACGAAAGATTTTGGTATCAAATTAACCGCCACATTTTTAAACTTTGCAAAATGTCACAGTTTACCAATATCGTTTGCCAGGTTATGTATACAAGGTGGCCCAAAAAGTACCCAATATGCTTATTCTGACCAAACTGAATGTTTAATAGAAAAATGTTTCAAACAAAACTTACTCCCTATTTTAATACACGATCGTTTGTATTATCCAAGTTTGACTTACTATAGATATTGTTTGAAAATAGTTAAAATAAGATGTTCATAATGTAAAAATCGCGTCGATATTCAAATGTTTATTGATTCGGTCAAAGTGACTCAAAAAGGGTTCGCAATTAGATAGATAGACATGGAGGTACAAGGAAATGCAAATTCAGAACTACTTAGTGTTGAAAAAAAATTTACTCTATTTAAGCTGCATATAATTAAATAAAAACAATTCAATGTAAAATTCCCGCAGTCAATAAAAGGTAAAAGTAAATTTTAATATCGCCGTGATTTTTTGCATAGCTCTATATTAGACTCATATTTCATATCCGGTTACCATTTAAACAAAACCTTTTTTTAATTTTCGAACACTCTGTATAGTAGATCAAATTTGAATAATACAGAGGATCTTGTATTTAAATAGGAAGCCTCAGAGAAAGGGAGAAAGGTTGGGAAATATCGTAAACAAAAAATAGCCTCTTTTTTGTTGTTTTATTTTCATTTAAATAAAAAGATCCACTTAAATATAATATACCTAATTCAGATTCCTTCTACATGACAAAACTATTTTGTAGTTACTTCACCTACCCTTCCCTTAATCGAGGTATCCAATAAGTCTTTCATTTATAAAAAAAAATTCATATCTCCTTTTATTGTTCAATACAAGACATTATTAAGTCGTATTTATGTTTGCTACAATTCGCATTCATAATTTGTACCTTTTCTTTACAAGGAAATGCTTCGGATAAATAAAGTAAAAGGTACAGATTAGCCGCTACCGATTTCGATAAACTAGTTGAAAGTTGCATGTGTGTGTTCCACGACAGCAGATTATTTTATTTGTTTAATGATTTATTTGTGCAGTGTTAAAAGTTAACAAATTCAAAATGGTTCGCATAATAACGCAGAAATATTTTCATTTTCTGCAGAGATGGCAATGCTGCTCCACGTGTTTTGGGATACGCGCCAAGAAAGTGGTCCGTCAACCACATGACATTCTCCTCCTCAAATCTAAATAACGTTTTAAACGCTGATTCTTGTGGTGTACGTCTTGGTTTGTAGTATTTTTTTGTACGTAAATGCAACATATCAGTCATAACAAGCACAACACTGGGACCACACAACTAAATATTCCTTATACAAGTCTTTTTAGATAGATTTTACCATAAAAATAGTCGAACAAAATAATTTGAAGTGGTCTGTATTCTGTCGAAACTGCCAGACGCGGATCGCGATTTCGATCTTTTTGGCGTTTACTGCGCCATTTGTAGTACTTTCTAAAATGTCCATAATGTTATGGAAGTATAGGGTTGTTCGGAAAGTCATTTCGTTTTTTTTTGTGGAAATGAAAGACAGTTTTCGTATAATAAACAAATACTTTATTAAATTACATATTGACCGTTCTGGTCCAACACCTTTTGCCATCTTTCTGGTAGTAGTATAATTCCACGCTCATAAAATTTTTGGTCTGGCAAAAAACTGATCGAGGAGGTTTTTGACCATATTTTTAAATGGACCTTGCTGGAGCAAACGGAAACCTAAAATGTAGCATCGTACTACAGATGGCGCTCACCACGTCATTTGTGGTATTTTTTATAAAAACAGTCCTATAAATACATAAATTTTTACGTTACAAGCTGTGTGATGCCTGCACAGCTACTGAAAAGTTGAAAAGAGCGAGAAAAGTTGTTGGAAAAACCTAGACTCTTCTTTTTTTTTAGAAGCAAATCCTTTAGTTTTTGTGCAGATGCTTCTTCTTATAAATACAAATTATATAAAACCTTTTACTTTAAAGCAAACCCTCGAAGCAAAACCTTTTCCTTCGCTTTTTTAATGCACATACCTTGAAGGTATTGCTTCAATTTTTGGAAGTAAAAGTACTTTTGCTTCTACTTATCTTGTTTTAATATTAACGAAATTAATTTCTTCATACGAAACCTTTTGTGACTAAAAGCGAACACCTCTCTTTGTAAAATCTCAAAATTTAAAGGAAATATTTTGCTAGTGTTAGAACATCTTACAAATGGAAACAGAAGGATAAATTTAATTATATTGGAGTTTCGTATGTCGGTTTTAAAAGGATATCATGAACAGTGGAAAAGAAACACAAACAAATATCTTCGGGGTAATGTTTGTAGTTTAACCTTTGTCAGACAACACGAGTAAGAACTTAATGTAAATAGCGCTGTTTTCTGTACCTTGTAATTTTATTACAAAAATCTCTTTATGTACTTTCCCGCATTCAAATCTCCCTGCGAATTAGAGGAGCTTTTGTTGGGCCTGACAAGAGGATAAAACGGGTTACAAAGTCCGTGCCACATGTGGCGCGGTTACTTTTATCCATTATATGGATCCTCCCCATTATTGTATCGCGTTTTCGTGCAAACGTAAGCATTTTCGGTGGTTCACTTTTAAATGGGACAAAAGTCGGATTTTGCGATAAAAGCACAGCGTCGCGTCGTCGGCGTTGTCTCTCGGCGGTGGGTGTCGCATTGTCGTCGTTGTGGCGCTAATTATGTATTCAGTTAACTCCAATATCATGCACCAAGGATTTGCCGTCTGATTTAGGGGACGACGTAGCGATGCTTCTCGCCACGTTACTTCGCCCTTCTTAATGGTCGACTGTAACGAGGGATTGCCTGTTTTCACATTGTCAGAAAAGGGGTAAGTAAAAAATAAACAAAGAGAATGTATATTGAAACAAGTTCTAGAAATATTTAATTCTTTTTCTTTCAGTTCTTTGAAATTTTATAAAAATGATATACTCGGAGGGAAAAGTTTTTATAAGGTAGAAAAGGTTAGGTTATGATAGTTAAAAATTCCCCCTCCTCCTCCCTCATCCTTCTTATCCCCTTCCCCTCCTCCTCCTCCTCTTCCTCATTCTCCTCCCCCTCTTCCTCCTCCTCCTCATCACCCTCACCCCCACTTTCGCCCTCCCCCCCATCCTCCCCCCTCCTCCTCCTCCCCCTCCTCCTCCTCCTCCTCCTCCTCCTGAGAGGTTCAATTTTTTTTATTTGTCTATTTTGTTATTTCACTTATGATGTCAAATTCTAATAACCCAGTGGCAAAAGTTTACACCCTTAAATGACAAAATTAATTAATAGTTCATGATATTGTAATAAAATGGGAAAACTGGAAACGAACCAAACGAATTATTGTTATTGTTTTTCTTTCCACTGTTTGCTAAATCAGTCACACTGACTAATGCTTGGGTGAACGCTGCTCCCCTCAACTTTGTTTCTCAGATTTAAATAAAACCCTCTTCGATTTTAATTGCGATCCACTTGTAATTGAGATTTTAATGCATTGTTGGACGTTCTTTACGGCCCTATACGAATTAATTAAAACTGCTTAACGAAGGCGAAGGCGAAACAAATGCAAATGCATCATCGTATAGACATCGACCCCTTCAGCTTCTTCAACTGTGGCGACAATTTATAGAAAAGAAATGACTGCACGATATATTCTTTAGGAAATTTACTTATGTATAGGGTAAAAAAAATTTTCCAGTCTCGCGTTGATAATGCCCACGTATGAAGTGGGCGAAACACGTGTCCGCTCATATAAAATTTGTGGTAATTAGGGGTGAGTATTCCTTTTAATTTTTAATATGTATAGGGTGAATAATAATTTGAGAATATTTGCAAATTTTCGATATTTATTTTTTTTTCATTCAAAATTTATAGTTTTCGAGTTAGTACTTTTACCTATTCAAAAATGAGACTGAAGTTATACATAAAAAAAAATAAAATTACAATGACACATGCCTACATTCATCAGGATATTTTGTGTAGCTGTTTTGATATACAAAGTGTAACAGAATAAGTGCCGAATATGTCCGAATGCTCACAGTTTTCGAGAAAAACTTAGTTGAATAAAGTACAGGCAAATTCAATTCCGGCCCTGGTAAAGAAATACGACCTGCAACGCTGCGGCCGCAGTAGGTTTGTATCGGTAATTTCTAAAGAAAAGTGGTGCATTGTCTAATTTTTCCATAAGGTGTTTATAGACAAATTTGCTTCACGCGGGAAGGAATTTTGAATTTTCATAATAATCACTATTGGTGCCACGGAAATTCGTATGTCGCAAATCCTCCATTTCAAGAACTGTTTTTGGTAGATGTGTGCGGCGAA